AGATTGATAGATGGAGTATTGAGCTGAGAGCTTAGAAACCTATGTTCCACTCCTATTACAATCACTTGCCATTTGTGTCATATTGGATAAATTGCTTCACCTATAACTGGCTCTCATTTTTTTCATGAATAGATGGAATTGAACTAAGTGCTTTACATTTCTTCATTTAAGTTTGAAATTATCTAACTACTAGAGGTCCAGTGCACAAAAATTTGTGCATTTGTGGGGGGGTCCCTCAGCCCGGCCTGTGCCCTCTCACAGTCTGGGACCCCTCAGGGGATGTCCATCTGCTGGCTTAGGCCTGCTCCCCAGAGGATCAGGCCTAAGCTGGCAGTCAGACATCCCTCTGGCAGCCCAGAAGCCCTCGGGGGATGTCCACTTACCAGCGGGGAGCAGGCCTAAGCTGCAGTCAGACATCCTTAGCGCTGCTGAGGAGGTGGGAGAGGCTCCCACCACCACTGCTGTGCTGGCAGCCGTCAGCCTGGCTTGTGGCTGAGCAGAGTTCCCCCTATGGGAGCGCTGACCACCAGGGGGCAGCTCCTGCATTGAGCGACTGCCCCCTGGTGGTCAGTGTGTGTCAGAGTGACCAGTTGTCATTCCCAGTTGTTCTGATGTTAGGGTCAATTTGCATATTACCCTTTTGTTATATAGGATGGCAAGTTTTCAAATATGCAAGGAAAAATTGAACTCCATTTAGCCATGGATGACTGCATAACTTGTTTGCTATGTTGGACTTTAATAACAATTATTTGCATAGCATTTTGTGTGAAATGTATGAATTGTGATTTGAATAAGGAATGATTTTTAAAAAGGAAAATTAGTAAACGCACCACAGCTTTTAAAAACTTATCCTTTTTGTATTATTATAAAATGCTATTATCACTTTAAACATTTTAAATATAAGAAAAAACAATATCCAGAAAGTTAAGATCACTTTTAATCCAATGACCCAAATTGGGTATTTTTCTACCACATGTTTATTTAACAAATGATTATTGTGTATTCCACTGATTTTTAAAAATATTTTCTTTATACATTTGAAACCCTATTTCTTTTCTTATTTTTGTATATGTATATTTACTTTTCAAATATTAAGGACATTGTACCTATATTTATATTTGTTATAACTTTTCCTAGTTTGACAACTTAAAAACGTATCATCTATACTAATAAAAGCCTAGGTTGCCCTCGCACCTTTGCATGATGCCCTCACCTCATCACAAGATGGCTACCACAAGATGGCTGGCGGGGGGGGCAGTTGGGGGCTATCGGAATGGCAGGGGAGGGCAGTTGGGGACAACTGGGCCTGCAGGGGAGGGTACTTGGGGGCAAGATCAGGCCAGCAGGGGGTGGCAGTTGGGGGTGAGCAGGCCATTTTATTATTTTACAACCCTGTTTTAATTGTTGTAACTCTATAGCATTTTGTGGTATTTTAAAGAAAATCTACCCTAATCTCATTGCACTTACTTATTAAAGATTATCTTTGCAATTCCATACCCCTAAATATCTTTCTATATGTTTTTTACATCTTAAAAACCTTTAGATTATTATTATTTTAAATAGTTTATTCTTAAAAACTTAAGCCAATATGAAAAGATGTATGTTAGTACATATGATTTTTATAATCACAGAGTCATGTTTTAGTCATATTTTTCTTAAAAAAAAGAGAATGGGAATATATTAATATCATATAAATGTAAGAGTATATGATATAGTCATTTCAGATTCTGCCAACTATAATATTTAGTAAACTATTTGGTGATGCTTATGATTTTTTTTATATTATACACAACTTGGACAAATAAATAAATATTGTCAGTGGAATTTTAACATATTCTTAACTGATAAAAATGCTATAAAACATTTTTCATAATTTATACTTCTGGAATGATCTATATCGATTTTCTGTCTAAAAATTCCAGCCACATCTACCATGCAACATTATTCAATTACTTTCACCAGTGTTAAAATTTTCCTGAAGAAATTAATGCTGAAATGCCTCTATTTGTAAATGTAAAAGCCTTTTAATAGTGAACATTTTCTCAAATCAATATAACTATACATATAATATTTTATGAAATAATCATAATCATTTAAACACATAATTTTGGATAGATTCTCAAAAATAATATTTAAAATATATACCAAATAACTTTTCAGAATAATATTCAATGTAATCATCTTATATAGTATAATTATATTTCTGGTGCTTTATACTTTATAGAATGCATATATATTATATACATATATATGTGTGTGATATATATATATATATATATATATATATATATATATATATATGGAGGTGTTCCTCAGCCCGGCCTGTGCCCTCTCACAATCTGGGACCCCTTGGGAGATGTCTGACTGCTGGTTTAGGCCTGATCGGGCCTAAACAGGCAGCTGTACATCCCTCTCACAATCCGGGACCCCTCGCTCCTAACTGCCCTGCTCCTCCTTACTACCCGCCTGCTCGCTCTTAACCACCTGCCTGCTCACTCTTTACTGCCCACCTGCTTGCTCTTTACTTCTTGGCTCACTGCTCCTTAGCGCTGCTGCTGAGGTGGGAGAGGCTCCTGCCACTGCTGCTGTGTCTCGCCAGCCCTGAGCCCGGCTTCTGGCTGAGCAGTGCTCCCACTGTGAGAGTGCACTGACCACCAGAGGTCAGCTCCTGTGTTGAGCGTCTGTCCCCTGGTGGTCAGTGCACGTCATAGCGACCGGTCATTCTGGTCCTTCCACCATAAATGTCGCTGGGATCATATGTAGATGATGAGGAATGAATTTATCTTAACAAATATAAGTATAGGTAAAATATAATAGTTTAATCTGCATTAAAGAAAACTCTAATGAGATATATTCACCATAAGCACTCCATGCTAACTTTAAAAGTGTTTGAAAATAAATAACGCTTATCATCCTGTTATGAAATACATATATTTTTATACTGGCCACAATTCCCTAAACCATATACCCTCTAAAGGAAGAACAATATCACTTTAAGAGTTACTTAGTCTCTCTGAGGTAGAAATAATCTATAGTTCAAAACCATAAATGATTTAGCTGTTGAAAGAGCATGCCCAATGTGCTCCAAAGAAATCCTACCTGTTATGAAATGTCTGGACTTCTCTGAAATAAAACATAGTGGTTAGTCCAAGAATAGAGAAGCTCAAGTTTCTTTTAAAGATTCTTAAGCATGCTCCTCAAGAGGGTGGATTTTAAAGGGATGTATTCCTTCTCTACTCTCAGCATGACCTCAGAGACAGTTAAACTGCTTTAAAGTTTTAACTTTGTTAAGTAGGCTTAGAAGTCTAAAACAGTCCAACAGGAGGCCTGGAAGTGGGAGAGCCAGTATAATATTTTTAGGGTTGGGCCAACTTTGAAGTATAACATGAATGGTAATAAGAGTGTAATAAAATCTAATATCAAAGGATCTATCTACAGATCAGGAAAAATTTATATAAACTTAAAAGATTTTGATTATTAAGGCAAGTTGTACATTTCATTATAATATTTTTGTTACCACCAAACCAAATAATCAGCTACAATAATTTACCACTATTATTTGAATAAATGTAGTATCATTTTTATGAAGAAAGATAATATTGGCTACTTAAGATATAGCTTAGACTGTCCTCTAAAATGGTATTGGGATATGGCTAAAGTTTAGAATATTTTAAGGTGTTGTGGTTATATAATCAAGTTATTAGCTTAACATATATGTGGGTAAGGTCATATTGATCCCATGAGAACCAGAATTTTACTTTCCATAATGTTTGGGGGTGTCCATGAAGTGGCATTAACAATATTCTTTTTTTGTAATATATTTTATTGATTTTTTTACAGAGAGGAGGGGAGAGGGAGAGTTAGAAACATAGATGAGAGAGAAACATCAATCAGCTGTCTCCTGCACACTCCCTACTGGGGTTGTGCCCACAACCAAGGTAATGCCCTTGACCAGAATCAAACCTGGGACCCTTCAGTCTGCAGGCCGACGCTCTATCCACTGAGTCAAACCAGTAGGCATTAACAATATTCTTTTTTTTTTAGACCCACAATCACACACAGATACTTTATTAGTTTCCTCTACATGAGCTAGTAACATCAATCTTTTAACAGAAACCTCAGGTCATTTGAGAGGCCAAATAGATCCCAGGAAATAAGATGAAAATTAAATACTTAAATTAATCAAAAGGCAGTACAAAACCACCTAGAACCTTCTACCACAGTGATAGTGGGCTAAGATTAAGCTACAGCAAAATAATCTCATGTAAATGCTAAAGAATGCACAGCAAAAAGTGAGCTTTGCTTTCCAGAAGACTATGGTACAATGATCATTTGGGCCCAAGAAGGTATTTAGCCAGGAAAAGGTCAAGATGGTTGCAGGTCAAACCAAATGGAAAAGGAACAGGTACAAAAGAGACTAAGCGACAGTATCCTAGCAGAGGTTGAGGGATCAGGCTCTTTTCCTCCCAAGAAGTATCTGCTGCACTGTGTGCTGCCTTCCTTCCCTCAGGCTCCTACCTGAGAGCTGTCTGCCTTACAGGGAATCAGCAACCAGAGCTGGATTCTGGGATGCCTAGGCTCTTGTTGTAATTTAGTATAGACCTTAGAGAACTTGTCTCATGTTAAGGGGGGTAGGGCTTTAGTTTGGCTTTGTTCTTTTTATTTTGTTTATTTTTGGGTTTGCTCTGTTGCTAGTAGTTCTGAACCTAGGAATCCCAGAAGCATTCATGTGAAAAGTAGTCTGAGCTTCCCCAAACACATTCAAGCTCCCCCACACAACACCCTTCAAAGCCTGAAATCTTGCAGAAGCTGAGTGATAAAGCTGCAAGGCCCACAAAATCAAAGAAGCCAGAACGAGACAATGCAGGTAGGAAACCTGAGTAGTCTCAATCCGTCTTTCCCTAATTTTGGAGAAAAGTTAATATACCTGGAATGGGATGTAGAAAGCTACTGGAGCAAGCTGGGGCTTCTGCTGAATTTTTCATCGAACACCAAGGGAAAACAAGGGAAGGGGTTCACTTTATTTTTTAAAAGCCTCAGAAGTTATTCTATTATAAAGGGACATGGCTGAACAGGTAGGAAACAGATTCCCCATTGTGAGTTCTCCTGATGGCTTCTGCAAGAATCATGGAGATGTCGATCACCTGTATTTTGGAGCAATGCTTCATGTTGTCCTCCTGAGGGATGGTATTGGTGACCACTACTGCTTCGAAGCATGCATTGTTAATGCGAGAAATGGCGGGGCCAGAAAAGATTCCGTGAGTCAAGAGAGCATAAACTCCGGTGGCTCCAGCTGAAAGAAGTTTGTCGGCTGCATGGCAGATGGTGCCACAAGTGTCAGCCATGTCATCCACTAGAACGGCCACCCGATCCTTCACGTCTCCCACCAGCACCATGCGGTCCACTTCATTGGCCTTCTTTCGTTCTTTATGAATCAAGGCAAAGTCAACATTCAACTGGTCTGCAATGGAGGTCACTCTCTTGGCTCCCCCGGCATCGGGTGAGACAATAGTGCAGTCCCTCCACTCAGATATATTCTCCCTTATCCACTTCAGGACAGTTGGTTCCGCGTACAGATTGTCCACAGGGATATCGAAGAAGCCCTGGATTTGAGAAGCATGAAGGTCCATGGTAATAATATGATCTGCACCTGCTACGGAGAGCATGTTTGCAACAAGCTTGGCTGAGATGGGAGCCCGGCTCTTATCCTTCTTATCCTGCCGGGCATACGGGAAGCATGGGATGACTGCAGCAACCCGGCTGGCGGAAGCAATCTTACAGGCATTGATCATGATCAAAAGCTCCATTAGATTGTCATTAATTTCCCCACAGCCACTCTGAACGATGTAGACATCCTCTCCACGGACACTTTCGCCAATTTCAACACAGGTCTCCCGGTTGCTGAATTTCTTAGTCCCCACCTTGCCTAGCTCCAGGCCCAGGCGGTCAGCAATTTTCTGGGACAAGTCCTGGTGGGAGCTGCCGCTGAAGATTTTGATATTCGGCATCTTGGCCAACGACCCCAGGCACTCTTTGCTCAGCGATCACTGCTGCTGCAAGTCCTGAACCCAAGTCAGCCCAGAGACCCGGTACTAAACGCATTGCTACTGCGCCATCTTACGTTCCCGCCGGGCGCGCGCGTGGCTCTAAATTCTCATTAACAGTATTCTTAATTCAGTTGTCATTTGTAGTCAGTTGAAGTATTTCCTACAGAGTTTTAACACTGTGAAAATAGAGATGAGAAATTTAATAATGGACAATACGATTTTAAGTTGATAAGATAAAAAAAATACATATATCCTTTTAGAAAAGCAAGATAGTTAATTGATTGAACCTATTCATTTTTTACTTAAGAAATTAAAGCCCTAGAGGGCCTAGAGGCAGGCACTCTCAGGAGCAAGCTCACGTCCTCTCTTCTCGAGCATGAACTTTCTCCTGAGCACTAGGGATCTCCATAAGACTTACAAACAGGGGAGCACACACCTCCTCCAGGGCCTATCCCCTGAACATGTCTCCAAGACCCCCTTAGCTCACTTCTTCCCCAGAAGGTTTGTAGGGAGACAAAGCAGCCGCCTCTGCTCTCTCCTGTTGCTTCTTCTACCCTAAGTCCTTCCTTTGTTTCACTATCCCCAGCTTTAATGAATGTACTCTCAAAATATTAAATAACGTACCTGATTTTCAGTCAGCAGCTACATAAAGCTAAACCACAATTGCTATTTATGTCTTCTAATTTGATCTCTTATTTTTAACTTTGGGAATTATGTGATTTCAACAGTTTCCTCTTACTTTTCTTATGATTAAGTAAAATTAAACTTCCAAGTAAGTTTATATAAAAACTGTTAAGATTTTTATCTTCTTAGTTAATGGACATGTGGATTTTAAATGGTGAATCCTGGCATCTTGTTAAATCCTACCTCATTGATTTTTAGTAAATCAGCCTAATAATATTTTTAATCCTGCACATTTATACCTCACAGATATGTATCATCCACCAATTAAACAAATATGTGTTTTGATCTTTACCCAAATCATTAAAGAAAATACAGAACAAGATATACAGCTCGTAGTACAATTTCAGAAATACACCTTCAATAGCTCCCTTTTACATCCTTTGCTTATTTTCATTCAACTATTAATTGTCAAATACTTATGAGGAAGTAGTTATAGTCTATTCTCATTATATATCATACTTATGTTTTAGAAAGTCATGGCAGACACTGAATTAGCAAAGACTGGTTCATTGTTCTGAGAAAAAAATGCGAGATTAGTGTTCTGCGAACTTCTGATCACAATATTTCCATTGACCAATGAATGCATAACTTTGTTTTACAAGTGCTTCTGTTTAAAGACACCTTGTTTAATATGTATTGTTAATTCAGTAGCATTAAAGTCACAACAACAACACTATAACTCATGCCTGAAGGAGATTATCTAACACAGGTATTTTCTCAGCAAGGAACATCACAGGCTGCTTCTACTTAGGGAACCTAGGCAGCACTCACTTGGAAACTATTTTAAACAGAAAAATACCAGCAAGAAAAAGCACAAGCGTGTGACACTATAGGCTGTGAAAAGACACTAATTTACAGTATGAGAACTTATCAAGAAGACAAACATGACCATGCTGATCTCATATGAGAACCTGTGCATTGGGTGGCTCCATTTTTTTATAGCTCTGTACATGCAAATGCTTATGAATGACGTGAAAGTAGTATTGATTTTGAAGTTAAAATAACTGTTAGCAAGTAGGTGAATTAAAAAATACAAAACATGCAAGTAGAGGCGCAATTGCATGTATTAGGCGCCGCCCTTAATGCTGCTGAGCAAAGTCAAATAAGACCTCTTATACTCCTTCACTGAGCTTTAATCTTTGAGTATATTGGAAACTTCAATTGTCACAAGTGTCTTTGTAACTTGTTCCCTTCACTCTTTGCACAGACATTCATTAGTAAAGGAGTATGTAACTTACTTTATTTTGGGGGAGATAGCAGGGATCAAAGAATTGGGTGTGGTTCCTGTCCCCACAGAGATCCCAGTGAGGGATCTCACTGGGACATGAGCCAGTGAGAATACTACCAGTGTGATGCTCTGAATCAGAAAGCTCAGGTTGCAACTGGGACTCATGGAAAATACACCATGTGCTCATTGTTTACAGATTAATAATGCCTTGGTAGACAAGACCTTAAATCTGAAACTTGAAGAAATATGAATTAAAAACCTCCAAGTAGACATTGGGGGGCACAATAAAGAAAATGAAAATGACATCCAAAAGTTTGGAGGTAAGAGACAGACATAGAAAGTAGTACAGCAATTAGCAGTGGGAAGTGACAGAAGTTAATGTGTGGGATTATTGTGAAGGGGGAAAATGATAAAGGAGAAGCAGTGTAATCAGTAGCCAGATGAAAGGCTTTAACATCAGTTAACTTTCCAAGGGCAATGAAAATAGGAAATAACAATAGCAGGACTAAAATTAGTATTTATGATGACAGTTTTGCTCTAGATTTGAGATTCATTGAGGATGCCTGGAGGAGCAAGTAAAGAGGGAGATAAGGTCCCGGTAGGCAAGGAGATCTGTAAGAGGCTTTTCAGTAATCCTAGTGAGAGATGATATGACATGGTCTGAGGAAGGGGAGGAACAGTGAAATTTAAGACCAATGGATCAATTTAAAAAGTATATAAGAGTTGAAGTTATCTGGATTTGGTGATTGATTGGATGTGGGTAGTGGTTGTTGTGAAAGGCATTCCACTTTGGGTGCAGAGGTTTGTGCGTGCAGAAAACAACCATTATCGATGAAATAACATCCCTTCCTACCCACCAGACAAAGAACAGCCTTGCTTTCCACTCCATGTGAAACTCAATTTTCCTCCATTTTCACACAATCCACTGAATGTGCAGGTATCCATCTAGACTGATATACACTGCCCCATGGAAATTGGAGGGTCATGGGAAAAATGGTATGAACCAGAAGTTCTGGCAGCAGTGGCTTCTTCTTCTTCTTCTTCTTCTTCTTCTTCTTCTTCTTCTTCTTCTTCTTCTGCTTCTTCTTCTTCTTCTTCTTCCTCTTCCCCCGCTTCCTCCCCCTCCCCCATACCTCGCCTCCCCTCTCTCATCCCCCTCCCTCTCCCCCTCCTCCCCCTCCTCCTCCTCCTCCTCCTCCCCCTCCTCCCCCTCCTCCTTCTCCTCTCCTCCTCCTCCTCCCCCTCCTTCTCCTCCCCCTCCTCCTCCTACCCCTCCTCCTCCTCTCCTCCTCCTCCTCTTCCTCCTCCTCCTCTTCTCCTTCTCCTTCTTCTTCTTCTTCTTCTTCTTCTTCTTCTTCTTCTTCTTCTTCTTCTTCTTCTTCTTCTTCTTCTTCTTCTTCTCCTTCTTCTTCTTCTTCCTCTTCTTCCTTTTTTTAGTAGGATTTGTTTATTTTTTTAAATTTATTTTTTGTCTTGAGTAATAAAGTTCTTTTTTTTCTGACTCAAGATTCACATATCCCCTGACAATAGTTTGTTAGCTTGGAAATAAGGTAAATTCCAAGACCCTTCACAGTTCCTAACAGTGGTTAAATAAGGAGATAGGAATCATTCCATGGTTTCTGATTTGTGTTACTCAAGGTCACTGAGATAGGAGCCATAAGGTGGAATGTGAGATTAAATGAGCAGAAAACAAGGTCTGTATTTGAAATGTTGACTTTGAAATGTCTAAAGCAACCTTATGAAGAGAAGCCCAAGCAAGTTTTACATGTAGACCTATGTTGACAAGGAGGTAGATAAAATATTAGGGATTTTTAGATTAGAATTTAATATATAAAAGAATATGAGATATCCCAGAGAAAATATCTAAACTGGTTAAAAACAAGTTATAAAACAAAATGCAAAACCATATATGCATTTAAGGGATGATTTGGAAAGAAACAGAAAATCAGGAAAATTTGAAGGTACAAGAAGCAGGCAATGGAATTGGTTAAAAAGAAAGTACTCTACAGTGTGAAATGATGCCAAACCATTAAATGAGCATTGAATTTAAAAATAATATGGTCATTGATAACTTTAGCATAAATAATTTTTATAGACTTGATGAAAGTAAAAATCTAATATATATGTTATATAATAAATGGTTTGTAAGGAAGTAAAAACAACTAGTTAAAAATGAAAGGGAAGAGATATGATGGTGGTGAGGAATATAGAAAGGGTCTATTTCTTAAAAGTGAAAAATATTTGAGCATATTTGTGTTTAGATGGGAAAAGATGGGAAAATTTATTGAGAAATGCTTCTTTAAAATGGTAGATGTTATTAGCTTTTTGACACTGTTTGCTATTATATAACAAAGGTAGAAAATTGTGGATACTGCTCTAACCAGTTTGGCTCAGTGGATAGAGCATCCGCCTGCAGTCTCAAGGGTCCCAGGTTCGATTTCTGTCAAGGGCCCCCTTGGTTGGGGGCACATACCCAGTAGGGATTGTGCAGGAGACTGCTGATCAATGTTTCTCTCTCATCGATGTTTCTAACTCTCTATCCCTCTTCCTCCCTCTCTGTAAAAAATCAATAAAATGTATTTAAAAAAATAAAAAAAAGAAAAGAAAATTGTGGATACTAAGAGGAGAAAGACAATCTGTTGGCTTCTCTTTATTCAGTACTGTAAAAAAGAGAGTTTATCAGCAGAGAGAAGAAGCAGGTAGAGCACTCAAAAGTGTGAGTAAAGGGTTGCTATGCAGAGAGAACACTTTATAAAGTATAGATTGTCTAACCACAATGCTGTACACCTAAACCAAATACAAAATAATATTGAATGTTAACTTTTTTAAAAAAATAAAAAGAATGGTAGAGAGAGCTGGCTAAATATATACAATAGGATAACTGAGAGTAGAGTTGATGTTGAAAACCATAAATTAACAAAAGGTGTTTTGGAAAATTTGAAATATTTCTAGGGCAGCCTTCAGCACTATAGTAGTGTCATTCTATAATGTAGATTAGAGATGAAAGACCTTTGAATTGATGGAATGAAGGGACTTCCATTAACTGTTTGATAGAAAAGCAATGAAACTGC